TGATCGAAACTGATAAATGATAAACTTACGTTTTTCCCATGAGTTATGGTTATCATCTTGAAATGGATCAAAAACTTGAATGGTGTATTTGTATTCATCGATTTTAGCAAAACCATACATCAAATGAGTACATTTGAAAGGATCAATATCTTCAATTGTGTATGGATCAACTTTATGATAAACGGACCATGTTCCAACATAACATACGATTCGCATTGGATTTTTCGAATAATTGTTGTGATCTGTGATATGATAGGAATTTAATACTTCAATCAATCACAGATTTTATCCCTGCACACTTACCTCGTTTATTGGCCGCATTCATCAAGCCAATGCAGGCCCATATACAAAACAATGCAAATGTCGTTTTCATTTTCATAAGTTCTTTTGTTTTAAAAATCAATACGTGATGATCAAATCAAAAGTATTTCAATGATTTTCGATGTCTCTTATTCTTATAGTCAATGTCATGGTTGAATAGGATCAGTGACAAGGCACAAATCACATGCTGATAATCATATCTGATCTTAAAAAAAACATTTGCGTTGTTAGGTATCAAACAGCGATTGGAAATTGCAAAAAAAAACTAATCTCAAGATTATTCGATAGGATTTTCAATTAATTAATGATATAATCAATAAATGAAAAATTTAACATCTTCATTGTTGATCAAATTGATAATCGTCAATGTTAATCTCTTGGAAAAAAATATCTGACATCAAATACATCACCATAAGAAAAAAGAAGAAATAAGAAAATTTTTTATTGTGCAATTAATCCAAAGTTTTTATCAAATATTTTAATGGAAATTTTCATTATATTTTTAATTTCGAGATTTAAAACGGGATGTATTAAAAACTTTTCAGTAAAGTAAAAAATCATCCTTTTTAGCCTTTTCATCATCTTTTTTGTTATCATCAATTTGATCATTTTCATCTGTAAAGATTTCAATTAAATTTTGCATTTCACTTTTTTCCCTTACGTCATTATTTTTAACATGTTTTTCTTGTTGACTATTATTTTGATGGAAATTATCTTTATGCTCAAATAAAATAGCTTCTTCACCCGGTTCAATTCCATTATCATCATCATCATCATCATTCTTTTCATTAACATCGTTACTTTTATAGCGGTTGTTGTTAGTGTTTCCAATTTCATCATGATATTCCACATTCCGATCATATGAATTAGATAATAATGAAGATTGTAGTAAACAACTTTTTGATAGATCCAATTCGAATGGTACAAAACTATTCTCTTCTAGATGTTGATGACAATTACTAATAAATGAACTTAAGGATGAGATGAATTTCGTTATATGTGTAGCAATATTATGAACATGTTTTTGATCTAGTAATTCCAATTTAACAAGAACATCCGATCGTAATGTAGCGAAACGTTTTCTTGCTTCTTGTCGACATCGTAGAATAAGACGATATTCATAATTGCCTGTTTCGACACGATAAAACGGTTCTTGCAATGCTTGATACGTATATTCTTCATCATCCATTTCTTTTACTTTTAAACAATATGACTAAAAACAAAATAAAGTTAATAATTCTATAATCAAAATAAGAATAATAATAAAAATACCAGATATTCAAATTTAGCATCGGCATATTTCTTAATTGTTAATTGGGTATCTGGTATGGCTTTGTTTAGATAGGTATTCAAATCGCTCAAAATCTAAACGAGGATTAAAAATTATCAATAAATTACAAAAAATAATTGAATCATTGGAACTCACAGGTTTCAAATCTTTGATCATTTTTGTTCCTTCTTTTTCGAATGATCGATGAACATTACCGAAACGAGTAAATGCAAGGCTTGCATCTGTTTGTGGTTCATGTGCACCGATTTCATTGAAAACATCACCAAAATCTTTATATGTAGAAACAATTTCCATATAGCTCCGTATCACATAATTCATATGAGTTATTAATCCTTTGAAAATGAATTCATTTCGATCAAGTTCGTGAAGCTTTTTAACAAGACTATCTAAAATTATAAGTGAAATGTTAATAAAATCTTAAATAAAGACAAAATTCTTTTCAATCAAATTACCATTGCATAGAATAGCTCGACTTAATCCAAGTGCATCAGCCGTGGATGAATCCATATTTTCAACCATTTTATGTTTCAATTTTTTCAATATTATATCCAATGTTTTTCCTTGTTTTGGATCAGCATGAAGTTTGTTATAACCGATGGTCACCTCATCTTTTATCGATTGTATGATTCGTGCAACTTCAACTTTTGTACTACCTTTTACACATTTTCCATCAACACTAATAATTTCATCACCAGCTTCTAATGTTCCATCTTTCGCTGCCGGTGTATTTTCAAACACCTGTACAACATAAAGACATGGACAATTTGGTGCACCGCCACCAATACTGATGCCAATTAAATTTCCATCATCTTTTTTGATTTTAGCCAAACCCGATGTGACACGCATTCCCCTGTCCATAAAATAATGAATAAAAATAAAATATTAGATAAAAATGATTCTTTAAGCCATTACATTTGATCTTCTCCATAATAATCATAATAATAATAACGGTCACAATCAGACCAACGATAATAATTATAATATTGTTCATATAAATTAGGATTCATAATGGCAAATGACAAAACAATCATCATTTGCAAGACAAATGAAGAAAAAGCAAAGGAAATGAATCAAATCCTGTCAAAATTTAATTTTTCATGATTGAAAATGAAAATGAAAAAGAACACAAATCACAATTGCATCCGGTGTGATCTATTTTTCATTTCTTCATTAACAAAACGTTACTTACATTTTATCTTCATCATACAGATATCCATCGTCTTCTTCCATTAACATATCAGACATAATTTTTTTTTAAATCGGATTTTTATTATTCAAGAATATCGATGTATTTTTAAATGTATTCCATATGGTTTGTTTTGAGTATTAAAACTTTATATTATCATTGCTCGGAGTTATTTCGTTTCTGGAACATTAACCATTCGTTCATTCTTACATATATACCACTGCTATCGAATTTGTTTCCACTATAATTCTGTAGAAGATCCTATTGTTAGGATTGATAGGGGGGAAATAGTTTTCTATTTGGAATCATAAAAATCAACAACAAAATCAGTAACGACCTCTATTGGTGAAGATTCAAAACATTCGAAACTATTTCCTGATTCTGTTAATTTCGACCAGAAAATAAAAGAAAAACAAACCAAAACAAAAAAAAAAAATTTGTCATAGCAGTGTTCGATCCTTCGGCCTATATAATAACAGCAACAACAAATGTCAATGTGAATAATTTACAATGAAAATCCCAGTTTTATATTGAAAAATTATTCGGGTGAGTAATGTTGTTATACAATGTGTTTGCTGCTGCTTCTGGTTAGATTTGGATTGGATTGCAACCAAAAAAAAAAAAAAAATTATTCTGTCTTGCGTGTATTCGCATACACATGTGTTTTGTTATTTACAATTTTTTTCTGATCAAAATTCTTACTAAATCTTTAATTAATAATAAATGGTAAATTTATCATATCATTGCAATGAATATTTTTAAAAATGTACCGAATTGTGTCATCATTGATTGCTGCAACCAAAGCAACCTAAATATGACATCATTTTTTTCCTAACGATTTCCTAATTGTTGATATATTTACAAAACAGTATAATCGAATAATTTTCAATTTATGATGGTAATCATAACAATGACATTGATGATGATGATTATGTCTTTAAAACATTGAATAAAGTTGGCGAAAATTTCCTCCTTTTTTTAAATTTGATTTTCATCATCCTGGCATTGGCATTTTTTCATGTCATTAAAATTTATATTTCGTAAAATGAATGACGAATAATTTTCAATTCAACAACAAATGTCGTTTTTGGTTGATAATATTGTGATGATCGTTCCCTTTTTTTCCAAAGAAAAATTTTCTCTTGTACATTGACGATTCTTTTTGGGATGAACGAGTTGCCAATTTTTTAATGTGATAAAATTGACAATCATTCATTGGATTTTTTTTTCTTTTTGTTTGGCCAAGTATAGAACTTCGAATCAAAAGCAATATGATGATTTAAATGAAAAAAAAACGTGGTAGAAATCATTTTTTCACTTCAAATATCGTAGCACAATCAATGTTTGATATCGAATTTCCGATTTTGATATTAAAATCATGTTTATCATATCATTTGAAAAAAAAACATTTATGAAAAGAATCTAAAGTAATACCTTTTTTTTCATAGATGAAAAAAAATCATTGACATTCATTTATTTGATAATTGATTATTAATATCCAGTTTTTATTTTTAAATTTTTTTTTTGTTTGTTCCATACAGATCTAGATCAAATATGAGATGATTTGTGTGCCTTTGCTTATCGTCATCGCCCTATCATCATTATCATCAAATCGACAATGTCCTAAACGACAAATATTTGTTCAAACTGCAATATATCCTAATTTGTTCAATATATTACACACACAGATATAATCAATAATATTGATTATTATTTCAAATTTAATGATACACGAATTATCAATCATTAATCATCATCATCATCATCGAAAAAAATAACATCAAAATCTATATTTGATGAATATTATGTACAACAACAACAACAACAGCAACAATAATAGCCAGACAATGTGAATGTTTGATCATCATTCATCATGTTTCGAATTTTTGGTTTGATAATACAAAACAATGTATCGAATGTTTTTGTGATATGTTGTATGTCGAAATAAAATCTTCATGTATTTTTGATCATCGGATACATTATCATCAACCGAAAAAAAAACCTTACTCCAAAGTTGATTTTATCGACGATTCGATATGAACGATTGCTATCAACTTGTGAACCAAGAATAAAGTTTTTTTGGTCTTTCCAATCTCTCTATTCAATCATTTTCTTTATTTAAAACCAAATGCACACCAAGATCATATAGAAGTGCCTTTTTTAAAAATTTTGTTTCGATTTTCAACAAAAGAAATTGTCATCATTTTTTTCGATTAAAAATCGAGTTTTAAATTCTAGAATTTTATCGAGGAAAGAAAAAAGGGAGAGAAAAATCTGCCGAATTGTTGTTGATGTTGTGATTATAGACATAACATCACATTTAATCATCATCATCATCATTCCTTTAATCTGTTAATTTTTCGAAATTTAATTTTTTATTTGGTAATTTTTATTTTCGGTCCATTAATGATTGAATAATCAATCATTTAATCAAATATCGAATGTTGTTTACATATGTCAATCATTTAATAGTTGACAAAGAGGGGAAAATTATCATCATCATTTACAACAACGAAAACAACAACGACAATAAATTAATGTTAACACGCGTCGTGGGTAAGTTTCATTTTCTGAATCTAAATGAATAGCCGATAACAAAAACGAAAATCATTAGAAAAAAAAGAAAAAGTTCGCTTGAATTCATGTTACGCAAAATGTCAAATAAATATTCCTGTTCAATCATTTTGTTGTTCATCTAACCGTCTATCCCATCATTTGAATTATCATTTTGTTTTCAGAAAATAAACCATAAACCTGTGATATAAATTGTATAATGTAATGTACAGATCAACCAGGAAGGTCACATTCACATGATTTATGTTAGTTATTTTTCAATCAAAAAAAAATTTTTTCATTTTGATTTGTTTTGATTTTGTTGTCTCATCATCATCGTCATCATCATTATCATCACAACGATTTATCTTCTTCGTCATCATCGTAATCATTAATGAAAACAAAATATCACAAAAATTGTAGGCAAAAAATAAATAAATTTTTTTCAGATTTAAACTTAAGGAAATTTTTCTTTTTTTTCGCTGTCAACAAAAAAAAAACAGAAGAAAATTCTCTTCCAAGATAAGGATCATATCTTGACTTTATAGATATAAAATTCAAAGATTTATCATTATCAAAGACCTTTTTTTATAATATAGAATGAACAGAGGGAGATGATCTTAGCCAAAGTTTTGAATGGTGGTTCAAATTGTTTTTTCCTTACAGATTTCTTTATTTTATTTGGATTAATATATTACATATAATTAAATGAAAAAAAGCAACAACATTAAAATAATAATAACGATAACGATTGTTATAATAGTTTTTCTTACACTATTATTCATTTTTTCACCTCAATTTGAATTCATTAAAGTCGTCATCAAAATTTTCTGTAAAATGATAATGTCGGATTCATAAACGCGAATTATTATTATGATTATTGAGTGAGGATTTGTTTGCGTTTTTTTTCTTTTTTGATTCAATGTTCAATGTTTTCTTTTATAATCCCCTCTATCTTTTTTTCTCTTTTTTTTTGTTGTATACATCATTCATTCATTCTACCCGAATTCATAAAGAAAAACAAGTTTTTGTCTGTTCTGTTTTTGTTTTTGTTTTGTTTTGTTTGCCGTTTAAAACCATTTTACGAGGGAAATAAAAACAAAATGTTTTTTTCTCATCCTCATGATGATGATGGAGATGATGATAATAACATCTGATGAATGTGTAAAAATAAAGGTGTGTTTTGTTTGTTTCTGTGCGTCTGTATTCAATGGTCAAGCAAGCTATTTGGATTTATCATTCAACAATTGATTTCTTTTTTCTTATCTTCTTTCACTTTTTATCCAATCCATATTTTATATTTTTAATTGATGAAATTTTTTTTTTCATTCAAAACAAATAGGCTGTGAAAAAATTGTAAAGTTATGAAATTCGCCGAACATTTATCGGCGCATATTACGCCGGAATGGAGAAAACAATACATTCAATATGAGGTCAGTTTTTTTCAAAAAAAACCATTTTATTCGTTAATTTTTATTTTTTTAGCATATGAAAGAAATGTTATACGATGCCATCGATTCAATACCGATCGAATGTCAAGAACAGGAATTTCTTGAAATTGTACGAAAATTTGATGAACAATTTTTACATTTTTGTGAAAAAGAACTGAACAAGATAAATTCATTTTTTGCTGAAAAATTAGCAGAAGCTGTACGAAAATTTAATGATCTTAAAAATGAACTCGATTCATTTATACCGGGTTCGGCTGATCAAGATCAATTCGATGTTCAATTTACAACGCCACCATTATTTCAACAATCAAAAGAAGCGCAAAAAAAACAAAGCCGAAAATTATTGAAAAAAATCAATGATCTTAAATTGGCATTTTCGGAATTTTATCTGAATCTAGTTTTGTTACAAAATTATCAAACTCTTAATTTCACCGGTTTTCGAAAGATATTGAAAAAACATGATAAATTATTGAATACAAGTGCAGGCAATCAATGGCGTCAGAATAATGTTGATCAAGCACCTTTCTATACTAACAAAGAGGTAGATAAATTGATTGAAAAGACTGAAAATATTTTTGCCAACGTATTGGAAGGTGGTAATCGTTCAAGGGCTATGAAAAGACTTCGGGTACCACCATTGAATGCTCAACAATCCTTATGGACAACATTCAGAGTTGGTTTCTATTCCGGCCTTTTTATTATCCTAAGTGCGGCATTAATAATACAATTAATATACGCACACGATGTGATCAAATTTAACTACCTATGTCATCTATTTCGTGGGCCATTCTTCATATGGTTATTCATATTTTTATTGGGCATCAATGTTTATGGTTGGCGTACTTCCGGTGTGAATCATGTGCTGATATTTGAATTAGATCCTCGTGATCATATTTCCGAACAACATTTATTCGAAGTGAGTTTCTTTTTCGCTGTGATATGGGCGTTCGCATTGTTAGGCTATTCATTTGCATCATCATTCGAAATTGATGGTAATCTATTCCCACTAGCCACCGTTGTATTGTTCATTTTATTTCTGATAAATCCAACAAAAACATTTCGACATACGGCTAGATTTTGGCTACTACGTGTTTTGGTAAATATTGTAATAAGTAAAAATTGCTATAATCAATTGATATTTTTTTCCAACAGTATCGACTTTTAGTTGCACCATTCTATGCCGTTACATTCGCCGATTTCTGGCTAGCTGATCAACTAAATAGTTTATCAATATTGTTTGGGGATGCTATTTTTTACATATTTTTTTACACTAATGTCTATTATCTAAATTCGGACCATAATGGTAAAATAATTTTTTTAATTAATTAAATTATGTAATAGTTATCTATGCTCATATTCCATGTTTTTCTATAGCACTTTATATGCCACATGGTAAAACTTATCTTACGTTTCGGGCATTTTTTGCTGCATTACCAGCATGGTTTCGTTTTGTTCAATGTCTTCGCCGTTATCGTGATGATAATTATCGTAGCTTATTTCCACACGTGGTTAATGCTGGAAAATATTCGACAACATTTTTTGTTATCACCTTTTCAACATTAACTGAATTGACATCAAGTCAGTATTTTAGATTGAAATAGTTGAAAAAATTTTATAATTATAACTTTCACAAAGCAATTCCGGGTGATCCTTCTTCAAGTTCATTTTTTCAACTCTGGATTGCCGCATTAATTATATCATCGATTTATACATATAGTTGGGATGTAATCATGGATTGGGGTCTAATGAATGTCCGATCAACGGAAAATTGGCTATTACGGAATGAACTTGTCTATCCTAAACATTATTATCATATGGCATATATTGGAGATTTTTTTGGCCGAACAATGTGGGCATTTACGATTTCATTGAATCAGGTGGGCAATATCAATTCCGATTGGCTTGGTACCGGTGTTGCTACCATCGAATTGTTTAGGTAAATCTAATTAATGTTTAGAAACTGAATTATGTCTATAGAATAATCATCGTATATTGCATTTCAGGCGATTTGTATGGAATTTTTTCCGTTTAGAAAATGAACATCTCAATAATTGTGGTGAATTTCGTGCCGTACGTGATATATCGATTGCTCCTATTACATTATCATCAATAAATAGCCAATCAAATGGATTCCATAAAACAAGTGCGATATTTAAGAAAAAAGACAAGAAAAATCATAAACCAAGGCGATCGACTAATCAGTATTCAATTAAACGAAGGTAAATCAATATTATCTACTGGTTTGTAAAATTAATGGTTTTTCTTTCTTTTTTTTGAACAGCCAAGATGATTCCAAATCAAGCGAAGTGACACTTTTAATGGAAACAACCAGAACGATTACCCATAAAGATTATGATAAACTATGATATTAAAAAAAACGAAAATTTTAGAATCCGAGCTATATAGCTAGGTTTAATTTAATTGATAATTTAGAGCCGATTTTACAATATTTACTATTATCAATTGTTTCTTTGTTTTTTTTTCGATTCATTACATAAAATCCATCAAAGTATTAAGAAAATGGTTTTTCAATCAATAAATCATCATAGATTATTGTAAGGAATTTACTTAATCAACCTTTTTTTGCCTTAATCTCATTATTATAAAGCTAGCTATTGCCGATAGTCTTATTTTCACTAAACATACCTTTAAAAATCATCCCGAAAACATCATTTCTTTTTCATAATTGCCTTAATCATCACTTTTTAAATTATATTTTTCAAATTAAAAAAAAATATTTTAATAATGACAAAATTAATACAAGAAAACATATTTATCTATGAAAAAATGAATAAATCGTTGAATTTCAATTATTTTCACCAATTTGTTTTGAATGTGGTATAATAAAAAGAAAAAAAGAGGTAGTAATGGATTTCCGATTGATTGCGATTACATTTTTTTTGTCGGTGTCATCAAACTTTTCTTGTTTTGTTATTGTTGTTGCCATTTTCTAATAAATAATGATCATTAGCTGTGAATATTTTATGTATTTCTGTTTAACCATTTTTGATTAGCCATCTAAAAAGTTGAACTTTGGTTTTTTTATCGATCCAATTTTAATCAAAATCTTATTTGTTTATCGATTAGATTGTTGTTGTTTTTTTTATGATTTGGTTGTCATATCAATCGAAATGTTTTTAATTCGATAAGGTTTAAATGTTTTTTTTATTTGATTATTCACAATACAACTACAGAAAAGATAATCGACAAATTTTTTATGATTTTCATATAAAGGATACAAGAAAACAATGTATAATGTACTTGTATTATTATGTGCATTAGTTACTGTGAAAAATTGATCTAAATAACTAAACAATCCTAATAAAAGAAAATCATTGTACGATCATTTATCCGGGAAAATTCCATCTACGATGACAATGAAGATACATTTGGCCATTTATTTGGTAAATCATGATAATTTTTTTTCCAAACATTCATTTTAAAATTATTTTTTTATGTCGTTTAATAGAGTCTATTAGTGGCTGTCAATGCTTATGAAATATGGCCACATCCAAAACAAATGAAAATGAATGATACATTTTTATCGATCGATCCGAAAAATTTTACAATCCATTCGAAAACAAATGGTGAATGTCAAGTTCTTAATCGAGCAATTGAACGATATTTAGATAGAATGTTTATACAAGATTGTTCACTTGTAAATGAACAATTTCGTGGACGATATCTTTCGAATAAGACGGAAAATTTCAAGAAAATGACTAATTATTCTGGACAAATGACAACGTTACTCATACTGGTTCATGATAAATGCGAAACAATGCCCAATACAAAAATGAATGAAGCTTATACAGTTAAAATCGATAAAGATCATTCGGTAATTGAAAGTAAATCTGTTTGGGGTGCTTTACGTGGTCTGGAAACATTTAGTCAAATGTTTAGACATGTTGGCAAAAATCAATTCAGTATTAATACTGGTCAAATTGATGATGAGCCTCGTTTTGCATTTAGGGGTGTAATGTTAGATAGTTCACGTCATTTTCTTCCTCTTCATGCTATCTACGAAACATTAGATGCAATGGAAATGAACAAATTCAATGTTTTTCATTGGCATATTGTCGATGATCAATCATTTCCATTCGTGTCGACAACATTTCCAGAACTAAGTAAAAAAGGATCATATAGATCAAACTTTATTTATACACCTGAAGATGTACAAAAAGTATTACGGTATGCTAATGATCGTGGAATACGTCTTATACCAGAATTCGATTCACCTGGTCATACAGAATCTTGGGGAAAAGGGCAACCAAATCTGCTGACACAATGTTATGATGGAAAAGGAAAACCGATACCGAATTCGTATGGACCAATCAATCCTGTATTAAATTCAACCTATGAATTTATACAGAAACTTTTCCATGAGATAGCCGAACGTTTTCCCGATCAATATATGCATTTAGGTGGTGATGAAGTAGACTTTGGTTGCTGGAAATCGAATCCGATTCTGCAAGAATTCATGAAAATCAATCAATTTGGTGATGATTATGCAAAACTAGAAAGTTATTACATAACTAAATTAATCGATATCGTACAGAATCTGAATCGAAGTTATATTGTATGGCAAGAAGTGTTCGATAATGAAGTAAAAATTCGTCCAGAAACGGTCGTTCATGTATGGAAAAATGGTGCATTATGGCAAATGGAAATGAAAAACGTAACAAAAGCCGGATATCAGGCATTGTTATCATCTTGTTGGTACTTGAACTATATTAGCTATGGAAACGATTGGTATAAATATTATCAATGTGATCCACAAAATTTCAATGGTACAATACAGGAACAGAATCTTGTCACTGGTGGTGAAGCATGCTTGTGGGGTGAATTCATTGACGCATCCAATCTCATAAGTCGAACCTGGTATGTATAGGAAATATTTAAGAATTCAATAACAATTAATTAATTAATTATTATCGTACTACAATATACTATTAGGCCAAGAGCATGTGCCGTTGCCGAACGACTTTGGAGTCCAAAATCGTTCAAAGATCCAAAAAAAGCTAAAACACGTTTTCATGGACAACGATGTCGTATGCAAATTTTAGGATTAAAAGTTGAACCGATTGAAGGACCCGATTTTTGTTACTGTGATGATGCCATCTAATGTTATAATTTCCAACTATCCATAATGAAAAAATGATCATTCACAAATTTCAAAGATGTCATAAATGAAAGGATTATGTTTTTAATGTCCTATTCAGTTGATAAATATTGATCCAATAATGTTTTTTCCTAACAATAAAATAAAATTCGATATTTTCATTCTAAATTAATTAATATAATTAAATTTTTTGAAATTAAAATGAAATAAATTGATTGATTTTGTTTCATTTGTTTTTGTTAAAATTATTTGTTTTTGATATCTGAGTGAAAATTATAACTGAAACTGATATATCAATGTCCGATATATCATTAAGACGCCGTCCACGTGGTAAGACAAACTCATCAATAGATATGACCATTGAAAATTAATAATTTATTCAAATTCATTTGAAGATAGCTATTTTCTACAACAAACATTTCGTACACATTATCCATTAATGACTGTCGGTTCATGGATACCGATATTTAGATTATTAGCCATAGTTTATATGATATTGGGTTTGATTTGTTTCTATCAAAATATGACTGTTACTGAATATAAATTTGAATACACTGATTGTTTAAGTGAATCGGCAATTGAATCTAAGAAAAATAATACGAATATTTTATATTGTAAAGATGAAATTGATAAAAATCCTGGTCATATTTGCCATTGTCAAATATCAGTCTATATGAGTTCAATACCGAAAAATGTTTACGTCTATTATGGGCTAGAATTTTACTATCAAAATTATTTGCCTTATGTTGATTCGGTGGATAATTTTCAATTATGTGGCCTTCGATTAACAAGAGGAGAATGTTCAAGCAATGATAATGATACATTGCCAACAGTTCCTTGTGGTATGATCGCTAACAGTATGTTTAATGATACATTTGTATTGAAAAAAAGAATCCTTGCTAGAGATCAGTCTGGACATACTAAACGATATCTATTCCCAATTTCAATCATACGCAAGAATATTAGCTGGAAATTTCCTGAACGTTATCGAAATCCAACAGTACCGAAAAATCAAACACTGAAATATGTATTTCGTAACACAAAAAAACCTGCAAATTGGCATAAACCAATCTATGAGTTGGATCTCGATGATCCAACTAATAATGGTTTTGAAAATGAACCATTCATTAATTGGATGCAAATATCCCCATTTTCATCACTTCGTAAAGCTTATGGATATATTGATCATTCAGATAATTCATTCACATCGACCGGTTTACAAGATGGTTATTACCTACTTCAGATCAATTATTGTAAATATAGATAATTGAAAATTAAATTTTATAATGATTAATTATTTTGTTTTATTCAGCATATCCAGTTCATCGTTTTAATGGAAAAAAATTCATAATCATTTCGAATACATCATTGCTTGGCGGAAAAAATTACTTTTTGAGCTATATATTTCTTATAACATCTATACTCAATTCGATTATTGCCATCTTATTCTATTATCTTGATAAAAAATATGGCAAAGTGTATGTATTTGTTCAAATGAATTTTCGTAAAAAGAAAAAACTTTTTCAATCTTTTTTTTTCTAAATATCACAGTTCAACACAGGTTTATGATTATCTCTATTATAATTATCAACAAGATGATCGACTTAGTGGCAAACGATATTCACGTCAATGATGGACTATATTTGTTGTCAATAATATCTATTCTTTTTTTTCTTTTTTTTTTTTGCCTACATTTATATAAAAATTTGATGTAATATTAATGCCAATCATTTGATGATATTAAAAATAATAATCATAATCGTGATACAAAACAACAAAAAGAATTTATACCTTTAATTTTTGTATTTGTTTCATTTTTTTTATTCTAAAAAAATGTCATTCACACATGTTACAGTCGTTGGCGTCAAAAGAAGAAAAAAAATGATACAAAACAACAATGATAGGATTTGAGAGTGAATACAAAAAAAAATCAGTATCAAAACGGGAAAAGAATAACCATAATGCTAATTTAATGAACATAATCCTCTCTGTCTTTTCATTCCTATATGTAACATAACATCTATGGTAAATAAAATAAACGAAACAATGATGATGATGACGAATCATGAAAAATAAAGTCAAACAAGAAAAAAAATCTATCAATATGTTCATGTCAACTGGATTTCCGTTTCTACCATTCATTTGAAGAAAAAACCTCTGATGTTTAAAAAAAAATATATTGGTCCATTGAGTCCAATAAAGATCCTTATTTTTTTCTCTTCTTCCAATCAAAAGATATTTTGAGATACACGAACAACAACAACAAATAAATAATATGACATTCGAATAAAATTTTTTATCCACAAAAAAACGAGACGATACACAACAACCGCCGAAATATATTGAGATTCGTATAAAACGAAACTGGAAAAAAATATAATGAGAATCAGGCCAATTAGGTCAAAACGATGACAACAAGTCAGTTGAAATGGACATCAACAATGGGAAAAGAATTGTGAATAGCAAATTTCTACGTTATTTCTTTGATATTTTCCATTTAATAATTCAATATTTCATTTATCGTTGTTTTTTTTGAAACAAAATATAGTGAAATTCAGAAAGAAAAAAAATATAACCATTGAAAAATCATGATGATGATGATGATGATTAGACATGAAATGTATTTGAATGAACGGATCAAGAAAATTGTGAAGCGAAAAAAAGGAAATTCTTGTTTAATAAGATATTTTTGTTGGATCTTCATTCTTATTCAATGTAGTTTGTGTGATCCATGTTGTTGTGGCGTTAAAAAAAAGACGATGAAAGATGAAAGACCGAATAAACTTCAAATGATAATGATAATAAAAAAAACAATGACAATGACAACATTATTTAAAGAATATATCAAAAGCGGCTTTTGAAACAGTCTTTTTTGTTGTTTGTTAAAAAAAATGGTTGAATTGGTTCAAATTGGTAGAAAGATAGCCTTTTGTCATTTACCCCTTGAAAAAATCGAACAAACAAATAGAAAAAGAAGTGAGAAAAAAAACACTAACATCGACAAACATCATTCTCATCAACATCATCATCGTGGCGACAAACATCCACTACGAAGTAAATTAGATTTGACACAGTAGGGTATCCTTAAGAAAAGAATAGAATTAAGATTTTGATAAGAAAAAACAAAACCTATTCATCCAATCATTCATTCATTTGTTTTTCGTTTCATAGATCCAAAAACAAAACACAATAACAACATAGAAAATCTTTAGATTTTCATTCTCATCTTCCATTGGCAATCATTTTGTTTTTTTTTCTTGTCAAATTCAAAAGTTTCATTTGTTTCTCATTTTGAACAACAACAACAACAACAAAAACGAAATCGTTTCGGATATAGATTATATGTGTGTGTGTTTGTGATCCATGGCTTTGTTTTTTAGTTTCTTTTATGAATGAAATCTTTTTCAATATATTCAATTCTAACCGGATGGATGAATGTCAGATCATCATCATCATGTCGACAAAATCATTATTGTACAATGAAAATAAAAAAAAATCTAGAAAATCTAATTGTTTATATGGATTCTTTCATCATTTAGTCAAATGAATAATGTTGGATGATGGAGAAGGAAGATTTCTAATTTCCTTTCTATCATTTATATGTCGTCTATGTATAGATATTTGGAACAAAGAAGTTTGATGAGCAAATTTTTCATCATTCTGTCGAGATCATTGAATGTGTTTGTGTCTTATGATTCATTTGTTCATCATCATCATCATCATCATTTTTTCTATTTTCTTCGTGTTATTTGGTCGAACAAGAGATTTAAGAAAAAAAAAGAGAAAAGCAAAGACAAAACAGAAAAAAAATCGACTAAGCCGACTGCTGATGTTGTTGCTGTCAAGTTTATTATTATGGAACAATAGACATTGATCCATCATGATGATGATGATGGAAGAATTGAAAAAACCGAAAAGATTGCTAAATGATTTGGCCAAAAGATTTGGTTTTTATTTTGCTGACAAAAAATAAATAAAAGACTCATACTGTGATGATCTTGAAGAAATTGGTCGACGAATAAATCTGGGAAAAGAATTGATGAAAAGAAAATGAGCCTAATTTAGAAATCTCATAGTTTTATTCTTAAATATTATTTAAGGCTTTGATTATCAATGATAGACAACAACCAACCAACCAACCAGCCAACCATCTTATTACTGTCTACAGATCTTATTGTTTTATTCTTTTGTTTTTTTTTTTGGTAATGATCCAGTTATAGCTAATTTTGGTGTTCATCGAATGATGATTAATCAATACAAAAAAAAAAGAAAAACTTTTATAATGCCGAAAATAATTGAAAATCGTTTAGGAAAAGTGTCAATCACATTCTCAATTTATTTTGTTAATTCAAATCTAAAGAAAATTTTATTGAAATAAAATTCCAATGATATGAATGACATTTTCCAAAGATGATATTGAAAAAATGATAAAATGAAAGTAAATCCTTAAATAATTTCAAGTATTAAGTATCGTTATTTCCATTCTAAATATATACTAGAGGGATATAGAGATCATCAGATAAAAAATCATTATAATGATCACTGATGATGATTCTTTTTTTCATTCGTTTTATTTTGACAACAATTTCACTTTTTGGATCATTGTGGAATTGAACGAAAAAAAATCGATTTGAAAATTGATTCGAAATAAGAAAAAAAACGTATGCTATTTTTTGCTCAGGAAAATGAAAACTTATTTTGGCCGTATAATTTTCCGATAGCAATCGAAAATTGTTTGGCATATCATTTGAAGTATGTTTGTGTGTGTGTGTGTGTGTGTGTTTGTGTTCCCGGATATTATGATTGGCATCCGAAACATTTTTTTTTCCAGGAGGGTAAAAAAGCGATAAAAATGAGTTTATGTTTCCAACTTATTTATATGTGAAATGGTTGATTTCGATTAAGTTCGATTACCGATCTTAATACACCAATTTTTATTTTTTGATCATAGTAACATCAAAAGTCCTGGAACAAAAAGAGGGATAGAGAAAGAGAGAAAATCAATTATTAAATTTGTTATTATCATTATCATTAAATTCGATACTTAACTATATGATGACGGATAATAAAAGATCGTTTTAATATATATTGAATTAATGGAAAGAAAATCATTTGTTTGATTGTCAAGAAAAGAAAAAAAAATCGATACATTTTTTCCGTTTGCTTTATTTCTTTCAAACATCACTTCATTGATGGATGTGAAACTTTTTTTTTCATTTTCCATTCTGAAAATATATTAAACAAAAATGTTTGGTCAAAATTCAGGTTGATCAATGATTGAAAACGAAAAACTTTCAATTGTATTCACACATATTTATGCTATGGAAATTGTTGTTGTTATTATTGTGAGAATCAAATTAGAAATAAGAATGTATCACCAATACAATAGATGTTTAGATTTTGATTCACAATGGAACTAATTTGATTTTCCACAATGTGCTGTAAGTAATATTCTTTTATCATTTCAAAAGAAAATCAAACAAATAAATAAATATCACTTGAATAGAAAACAAAGTGAAAGCAACAAATTTAAGGTTTTCAAACTTGGTAAAAATTTTGCTCTTTATTCGTATTGGAAATAATTGAAAATAAATAGCCAAAAGTAAAAGAAAATGTAAATAATACAAATAGCAGTTTAAATTTATTAAATCAAAATGTTAAAATCTCATTCATTCATTTCTAACATATTTCTAGAATCTTCCAAAATAATCAGTTTGTATTTACAATCAAATAATACATATTTCATCAATAACAGAATCTTTTGTTTTTCAATTGATTTCAAAGAATTTGATAAATTGTTTTGAAAAGTCAAAAAAAATCGATCAATGATATATTATATACAATAAGAACAATAAATCGAATGAGAATAATAATATTTAAAGTATGATCAGCCAAACAAACAGAAAAAAAATTATAATCTATAAAGCCTATATTATACTGATAATAACAATAATCATCATACAAACGAATAATATTGAAAAAAAGCAATTTTTTTACATTTCAAAATCGATTGAAATATTGTTTGATTCCATTATTATTTTGCTTTATTTTACAATTCCAAGTTACGTTCATAATAGTGTATTTGCGATTTAAAGATATTATCCTTGTTCTTTTCACAAATAATCATCGTTAATATCATAGATTGACTACTACGATGATGATGATGATTGAATGTATACAAATTTATACATTTGAAAAAGAAAAACGTATTCCAAAATCATAAGAATCATTGTCATTGTCGTTTGTTATGGTTGTAATCATTGTCTTTTGATCACTAAATTTTTTCCGTTTAGTTTTTCTCTTCAGTGATCATTTTTTTTTTGCGAAACAAAAATTTTACATTTTTCTTTTACTCTCCTCATTCGATCGTTTTTATTCGAAACAAAAATGAACGAAAATTTCTTCGATTGGTCGATGATCAAATCTATACTGTCCCCATCAAAAAATCGAATGTTATTCCAATTCAATTCATTCCATTCTATTCCTGAAACCAAAAAAACAAAAATCAAGACTTAATACTATGAATACAGTTTACAGTTTCTTCTTTCAGTTACTATCACGAATTGAAAATTGAATAAAGTCAATTTCGGTGTTCTTCAACTTTTTTTTTCTTCGCTATCATCGAACGATTCGATTGAATTGAATTCAACCGTATAGCGTATAGATGAGAATGGTGAC